TATTTCCCTCCATGGTTGAAATGAAAGACAGAAATAGTAAAGTTTTCTCCTCTTACCAGTAAAGACCAGAACTTGATGCGTGTTTTGTAGAAATATCTGGTTGTCAGTGGGATTAGCTACTTATTGAAGAGCTATTCATAGTATAAATAATATACACTATATATGATTAATAAAAAACAAAAAAACTGACAAAATATGCCGAGATCATTTTATTATGCAATAATCCTTCCAGCTATGGTTTAGGCAGCACCCCTCTTTGTTCATTTAAACTGCCTGTACACATTGTTTCACTGTGATTTACATGTATTGTTTTACAGATGTCCCCCCTGGTCCGATGCATTACTATTCTAACCCCAGTTACCACACGCTGTCTCAGTGCGGGCCATGCCCTCCCCCTCTTCCTAGTAACCAGGAGAGACCCGGCTCCAAAAAGGTACCAATGTCTTATCATGTTGCTCCATCCAATGCATAAGAACCATCAGAGCTGAGGATCAATTAAAGGGACAATGCCGGCACTGTGACTGCTTTTTCTCACTGAAGTGGTTATAGTGTCTATACTGCCCCCTACGAGAGAGCAGCCTGTGCGTGTAGCAGTTGATAAACTGAACAGAAAGTCTGCTGATAGGCCTGATTAATATCTAATACGTGGTTCTTCTAGAACGTGATTCGCAATCCACACTTTGCCAAAATGAGGAACGAGCAGAGGGACAGAACGTCCGCTTTCAGTACAGACTTTAACGCCACGCTACCAGCTGACTGGAAGCATCAAGGACTGCCACTGAGCCCCAGGGAGCAAGGTAACTGGGCAGCATGGCGTCATACAGCGCTGCAGGGTTTGGCAATGTCTTCCTCTATGGGAAACATCCTAGTTTCATTACATCACAATGATGTAAGCAAGACTAAAAAACTGAGAATAGAAATGTATAGGGAATCCATTTATTAATGCAAATAAGAAATATGATCACTGTTAAAGCTATGGGGTTTGCTGTAAATACCAGAGTTTGCTGCTTAATACAGTGATCTCTCCCAGACCAGGAACAAGCTGGCTCCTGTCAGCCAATCCCAGCAGTCATATTGTTTAATTTGGGATACTGAGGACACAGCTCTGCGGTGAGTTATGAAATACGTATTTCGGCTGTAAGAGAATTATTTATTAACCTGGGACATTTCATACTTTTAGGCATTAAACTGAATTTTGTGAGTTGCAAAACTGAGACAAAAATAGCTAAATTTGCAAAACTCCAGCTCTGGGGGAAAGCTGGGATATTTTATGCTACAGTTTGCAATGTGCCTTCCACTCATAACAATTCATGGTTTAGTGAATAACCCTTTGGTGTCTGCAGACCTTTTAGTACGTGGAGTGTGGGCGCACGGTCTCAAGGCAATTATCACCATAATGTAAATGGAGAAACTATGACTATAGTAACAGCTACTATGTGTGCGGTGTATCACAATCAGCAGGTAATCCTGGCTAATCCAGAGTATGGAATGGAGGGAGGATAGTTTATAATCCAGAGAGGGGAATGGAGGGAGGAGAGTTTATAATCCAGATAGAGGGATGGAGGGAGGATAGTTTATAATCCAGAGAGAGGGATGGAGGGAGGATAGTTTAGAATCCAGATAGCAGAATTGCTCTTGGTGTTACCTGACCGACACATTCAACCTATTCCATTTCATAGAATGAATACACACTCCTATCACTCTAGAACATGAGAATCAGATATGGACAGACCATAAAGGGTTAATACCGTGTTTTTTTTTTTTTATTGTGTCGTTTTTATGAACAGAGTTGTAGATTTACAGCTGGCGCTATCTTGTTCTGATTGCAGGTGCATACCGGATAGACAGGAGTTACAGCTACAGTACCAGCGGGGTTATCTACAACAACAGGGGTAATGGTGAGTGCAACAGAGAGACAGAGCGTGTGACTGCATTATCTTTCCCAGCCATGTCTGCCCGTACCAAATCATGTTACAATTCTGCTGTTCGGTGACTTCACGTTCATACATAGCACATGAGCAGGCAGCCATTAAAGAAGATGTAAAATGGAGATACAGCTGTGGATCTGCAGAACAGAAAAAGTAATATAGTGTAATACATTCAAAGTGTGTAACGTGCGCCACCATCAATGCACTCACATAATGAGATGGTTATAAACGAAGTGTGCACACAGCAAGGACAAACATCTGTGGTCAACCATCTCCAATCAGTGGCCGAACACCTCCCTTCAGTGGCTTGGATGTACGGACACAGAGTGCAGGAGCGATATGGCTACTATAAGTTTACAGAGCAGTTCCAATCATCCTATGTGATTAGTGTTACTCCTGCTGGGTGATGAACTACTTATCCTATAATCACCTGCTGGACAGGGATAAGATCAGACCACATAGACCAGAATGTTTGGCTCCTGATTGGTGGAGACTCTTCCTGGTTAAAGGTGACTCTGCCTGCTGCTGACATTTGCCTGTACAAGTCCGGCCACTCAGGTCTTCAACAGAAATGAAAAGCCAGTAGTTTCAGCAGTCACAGGGAACATTCTGGATTACAGGGGCCGATCTGTGGAGAGCTCAGTAAACATTAATCCCCACTTCTTTCATTTTAGAACATGAAGATGGACAGGCAAGCCACCTGCCGAGGTGAGGAGTCTGGGAGATGACATGCACACTTTATAGCATATCTCATTTCATTCCACAGATTATGTCAAAGACTGCACTCGATCCACTAGCAACAGCTCACTGAACAGCGAGAACCCCTATGCCACCATTAAAGATCTCCCAATGTTGTTGGCCAGACCTTCAGAAGGGAACTACATGGAGATGAAATCTCCGGTCCACAGAGAAATGTCATATGCAGAGATTGGACTTCTCGATGAAGATGCAATGTATGAGCAAAATCCAAAGGAGGAAGGTAATGTCCCATTTTGGTCAAAAGTAAAAAAAATATATTTTCTATAAAGATAGATTGTCAGTGTAATGTTTGGCTTTGTTCATGGTGAGTCCAAAACCAATATTACCATGCGCTTTTTCTCCCACCATCTGAAGATTAACGATGGATATGTCAATGCTTAGTTACTTTATCATGTATATAAAACGTAATCAGCTTTTATAAATCTTAAAATTATTTTGTTCTTTTTACAGACAGTTTTGTTCGAGGGGCAGAAGGAGTCACCAGCAGCTCTAGAAGCAGTTTCTCACCAAGCCATTATGACTCTCCCAAAAACAGTCACATTCCAAGTCATTATGACATGCCACCCGTCCGACAGTACCCGCCCTCACCCCCTGCAAAGCGCCAAGCCCGATGATCCTTACATCTGAGTATTACCCACTTTGCGTCTTCCTTCTCATTGGCCCACTACACATACTTAGAGTATCGTTATGGACCTAACTGATAACTGACCTTATGGTAGGGACAATCAGTGCCCAGTGCACGGGTTACCTTCTGATGGAAAAAAAGACTATGTCCCCCTTTATTTCTACAGAGGGAAGCATTTAACACCATTTCAGTTAATAGACTTTACCTTCCAAGCAGAACCCACGTGTTCATCTTCCACTGTCAACTTTCTATCGGACAGTACAATTTCATGATGGGTCAAAAATAAATCACGTATTAAGGTCATCTCATGGTGAATGCTGGTCATTATGCAGCTGGCACGACTCGGATGTGACTTTATAATGATTTCAATTGTACTTTGGACTTCGTTTCCATCGTTTCCAATTTTGATAATTATCTACTCTTGATTTACCTAAACTGTCTTGCACAAGTCACTGGGACGAGGAAGAGGAGTTTTTTCAGGACCAAAGGCTCAAAGTCCATCAAAAAAATAAAGCATTGACTTCCCAAAACTTCATGCCAGCCCTAGTGAAATTAACAAAAGATCTAAAAAAAATGTTTAAGTCCTTTGTCAGGTAGCACACTTTGAGAGCAATTTGAAGCTATCTGAATGAAATCTTTGCTGTTGTTGCCCAGAAAGACTGAGAAATATATATATTGGAGACAAATGTTCAAGATGAATACCCATACTAATTGGTCTGTTATGGGTCCACGTGTTTGGCCCAGAGTGGTGGGTTATTTTTATGATAACATTGTAACTGACTTCAGTATGTATTGACCAACCACTTATAATAGTTTTGTATCTGGTTTTCTATTGTTGGAGACAATCATTAAAAATAAAAACACTGTTTACTGAGCCTTCACTATGAAGACACCGTGCAAATAAATATTGAAGAGTTCATTCAGTACTCCTTTCAGTTTACAATAAATGTATAGTGACTTTATATTGTTCAGTAAACACACTAGGTTATTGAAATGGAGAAGCTTATGGGATATGTAATAAACACACTGAGTACATGGGAATGAAGGAGAGTATGGAGTATGTAATATGGGAAAGTAGCAGTGTGACAAAAGTAACTTCGCCACTGCTTTTTGGAGGGGCCTGTTTGCCAGCCTCCTACTCTGTGACTATGGCTCCTGCAATAGACGTGGCTAAAATACTTTGAACAGGCTCTGTTCGTGCAATTGGGACTATATGGTTTGTTTACCGAACAGCCGCACGAACCAGAGACCACCCTGGAGCTTGTTAAGCTTAATTGATAAATTGTTGCAATTTGTACCTCTGTACCTCTGTTTAAGTTCTCCTGGGTGGCCGCAATTCCTATGGGCAACCACAAGGTGATGGCCATCTTGTGCATGGACCAAAACCGCGAATAGACTTCAGGGGACTTAGCCACGAATGACCTGGAACTATTTTCGGCATGAAAACTTTGCGGTTCCCAATCGCTCCACCAACGGCTCTTAGCCGCGATTCTATGGAACTATTTTCGGCTATGGGACCATGCCTGCGGTTGGTAAAAACTATGACTTCCATAAAATTCCTGAACCCCTGAACTGATCTGGGTGATTTTTGGATATGTTGGTCACTCAGATCAGGGCTATCAAGGGGTGTAACATTTGTGGGGTTTTATATATTTTTAGGGTACTTTTGGGGTGTTTTAAAAAAGTATATTTTTTTCTGTGCTTGGAGATAATTGGATTAGAATTAGTACATGCGACAAACCCTCTGTCCCTGGATTTGTAAAGTTTGTGTTAAACACTATTTGTGCCTGTTGGGACTGGTAATAGGAACTGTTCGAACTTTCAAAGTGGCACTTTGACCTCCCGAACTCCCGAAGCCATTCGAAGTGCCATTCAACCACGTGGTGTCTGCCATCTTAAGCTGCGAGTACAATGAGTGGTGTTTGGTCGTTGAGTGCATGGAACTCAAATGGGACAATCAACGGCGTGAACACCACTAAACTTTACCTTCCATGGATTTTCGGCTATTCGAACGGGAGTCGAACGGTGTTCGGTAAAAAGAAACCCACGAACATGAGACATCTAATGACTTTATCCAGGAATGGCTATGTTCGGTATTTCGAACTGTACTTCGAATCCCTGAAGTAGACCGGCCACACAGCCTGATTCTCTGGAACAGTTTTGGGCATGAAACTATGTATGCGGTCGGTCAATATAAGACTTCCAGGAAATTCCTGAACCGATCTGGGTGATTTTTGGATATGTTGATGCTGCACTAAGGCCAGTGTAGCTCCGGTATCTCTTAAGCCTTCAGCAGTCTGGCCCATGATGGTCTGGGTGGCTCTAGAGGGCAATTGCTTTGGACATGCCCTATCTGTTGGCATCTGAAGCACCGGGGCCCTGTATTTGGCGGGGGAAGCGGCTGTATGGGGGTCCCTGGTAAGGGGTGAGGAGGCACAGGAGCCCTGATCTGGGCAGAGAGGGGGTCTAAGGTACATGTTAAGGAAAAATACAAGAAGTACAATATAGTGCTCTACCACTGAATGAAATAATATCTGGTAAGCTGTATATGTGTTGGAGTGCTCCACTTACAGGTATAGGTCTTTGTTACTTACACCGCACTAAAAATCACAACTCTGTTTTGTGGAATAGAGGATATTTCCACATAAGTGTACTGAGCTGCCTGTAAATCACTTTTATTGTCTAAAGCACTTTGTTATATACACCCCTCTGTAAAAAGAGGTAACCTTTAACTGGTATTCAGAGAGGGGGTCTTACCGGGGGTTGCTCAGTCTCTCTGGAGTCAAGAGAGGCAAGCAACTTCAGTCAGGCAAGCAACTTCAGGCAAGATTAGGGTTCTACGGTCTCGGATCCATTCCTTAAGATCCGGATTGAGGGAATTGAAGAACTATTCCAGGAGAAACAATTGCAATACATCCTCTCATGACAGAGCTTGGCATCAAATTATCCAGTGTGATGCCATTCTGTGAAGGCGGCAGGCCCATTCTGTGTAGGAATCCTTGCCTTGCTTTCTGGATTCTCTGAACAGTCTACGGTACGCCTCTGGGATGACTGTGTAATGGGCGAGCAAGGTTTCTTTAAAGGTGTGGTAGTGGTGAATCTCGTTATCGGGAATAGCCCTGAACGCTTCTGCAGCCCTGCCCGATAACTTTCCTGCCAAAATCGGTACCCATTCATCCACAGGTACCTTATGTAAAGCACACAGTCGGTCAAAGTCGGCATGGTACCCGTCAATTTCACCTTCTGTTTCTGTGAATGGTACCTTTTTCTTCTCTGGAGGGGCCGCTGTACTTTCAGCTGCTGGGCTCCCTGAGCACTGGATCTCCGCCAAGCATAGTTGGTACTCCCGCTTATTCCGGGCTTCAACATCAGTGGTGGCCAACACTTGTAGATCGATGTCGGCTGGAGGGTTTGGCCCGAATGGCCCGGATTTGTTCGTCTTACTCCGCATTCGGGACAACCGGTTCAGGCATAGTGGTGGTTCGTTCCATCTCTCTGTCCATCTCAATTCGGCTATTAATTCCCGTTTGGGACGGTTGGTTGCCGTTCGGCCGCGGCTCTCCAATAAGTCTTTTAGTGTAGATCTTTTCAGCCATTCGTACCAATTCTCCATCCGCTACTCTGCTACTATATCCAGGTTCAGCATCTTTCCGGGGAAGGAAGGACCAGATGTGGTGGCCACCCAGGTAGAGCATGGGTTTCACCACCAGAGATGTATTTTTCCCCCTAGTAGTGGACTCTGCTGTAGCAACACTGGCACGACAACACTGGTAGCGATCACGAGTAGCCTTTCCTAAGAGCAGTAATCCAGAGCAAGTAGAAGTGATTATAGCTTAATGCTGGGGAGTAGAATGGTTTAATCCGGCCAACTGGCCCACTTTTACACTGAAATTCAGTACAGTGTACACTCCCTCAAACACACCCATAATCACACCCACAATTTGTCATACAATACATTGTCACTGTGACTCAGCAAAAATACAAAAAATATGAAATACCATAAAAATACATATAAAACAACATTGTATCCCCTCAAGTCTTACATCCCCGGATAGCCTGGATCTGAGCACCCAACATATCCGAAAAGCACTCAGATCCCACGAATACAGCCAAAACGCCACAGGGCAGGGGCGTACCTAGAGCATTTGGCATCTGGGGCGGATCCTGTGCTTGGCACCCCCCCACTCCGCCTCCCCCCCAAAAAAAAAAAAACCTGTAAAATTTTTTAAAGGTTCTCTTTTTTTTTTTTACAATTATAAACTTTGCAAAACGCTGTCAGCCCTCCTACAAAACCTCTGTCTGTCCCTTCTACAAATCCTGTACTGCCTCGTCTACAAAACCCCCGCAAGCCCTTACAAATCCCCTGCTTATCCCCTTATAAAGACTCCTGTCCCAATACAAAGCCCCCGCCTCCTTCTACAAAATCCCTGCAGCCCCACACACATTTACAGGCAGACAGTCACACACTCAGTTACAGACAGTCATACACTCAGTTACAGGCAGACAGTCACATACAGTCACAGGCAGACAGTCACACATACACATTTCCTCCGTGCGGCCAGTTTATCAGCTGTTTACTTGTGTGAGCTGTACTGGCCGCACGGCACCCTAACTACCATGGGACACTGTGCGGCCACAGCTCACACAGCCCCCTCCAGCCAGGGCCGGTGCAAGGATTTTTGCCGCCCTAGGCAAAAGTAAAGTTTGCCGCCCCCCCATGTGACATCACAATGCCCCACCCATATGATTTGCCATGTTAACTAACGCCAGTGCTGCAGTGCCGCCGTGTTTACATTAAAAGGCCTGCAGGGACAGGCTATAGACACCAGAACCACTACATTAAGCTGAAGTGGTTCTGGGGACTATAGTGTTTCTTTAATGTGAGGTAAATTAGAGCTTAGTGCCACGAATAATATACTAGATTGCCTACTTACAACCAGATGAGGATGATGATGGGCTCTAGCTGCAGTCTGGCTCCACTGGTCTGGTGCAGAACAGGCTCTCTGGAGGCGGTTTGTAACTGTGGTCACAAAAATCAATGTTCTGGGAGAACGGGAAGCAGCTCCATTTTTTGGGGGTCCTTTACACAGCTCAAGGTCTGGGTCCCAGGGTCCACCTTCATGTTCCACCAATGAGTTTGTTCACAGGGGGTGGAGTGTGTAGGGGATGTCCTGATATGTGTGTAAGGAATGCATTGTGTGAAATTGTGTTTGTATGTGTAAGGGCTGCAAGGTGTGTTTCTGTGTATGTATGGGATGCATTGAATGTGTGTAAGGGGTGCATTGAGTGTGTGTAATGAATGCATTGTGTGTTTCTGTGTGTGTAAGGGATGCATTGTGTGTAACGGTTGCATTGCTTGTGTATGTGTGTCTGTGTGTGTAATGCATTGTGTGTTTTTCTGTGTGCAAGGGGTGCATTGTGTGTATGTGATGAATGTCAATCTCTCCTCCCGCTCCAATTTCCTTCTCCTCCTCCCAATTTCTCTTTCTCACCCCCCTCCTAATTTCTCTTTCCCCCCTCCTAATATCTCTTCCCCCCTCCTAATTTCAATTTCTCTCCCCCCCTTCTAATTTCAATTTCTCTCCCCCTCCTAATTTCAATTTCTCTCCCCCCCTAATTTCTCTTTCCCTCCTCCTAATATCTCTCCCTCCTCCTAATTTCTCTTCCCCCCTCCTAATTTCTCTCTCACCTCCCCTCTCCTTTCTCTTTCTCACCTCCTTTCACCCCTTTCTCCTCTCTCACCCTCCCTCCTTTCTCACCTCATCTGCCTCACCCCCCTCTCACCCCCTTTCTCCTTTTTCACCCCCCTCTCCTCTTTTTCACCCCCCCTTTCTCCTTTTTCACCCCCTCTCTCCTCTTTTCACCCCCCCCTCTCCTCTTTTCACCCCCTTTCTCCTCTCCCCCTCTCTCCACCCCCCTTTCTCCTTGCCTGCCTCTCTCACCTGCCACCCCCTCCTTTTCACCCCTTTCTCCTCTTTCACTACCTCTCTCTCTTTTTCACCCCTCCTTCTGCCCCCTTTTTCTCACCACTTTCACTTGCCTCTCCTCGCTTGCTTTACTCTCTCACTTACTTTCTCCTTTTCACCCCTCTCTCTCCTTGCTACCCTTTTCACCCCCCCTCTCTCCTCTTTTTCACCCCTCCTCCTTTTCACCCTTCTCTCTTTCACCCCCCTCAGCACCTCCTTTTCCCCCTCTTTCTCTCTCGCCCCCCACCTTTTTGTGAGCCCAGTATAGTGGTAGATTTACAGAGACTTTGTTTTCCTGTACCGGGACTACTGGGGAGTACACACTCAGTGTTCCCTTCCTGTTAGTCCGGCCGAGGTATAGGAAGACAGCTTCTCCCTGTACCCGTGGACATGCTGCACGGGCTGAAACCCGCATACAACAGAACTGACTGGGAGAGGCGGCTCGGCGGCTTCCCTCCTGTCATTATCAGGCTAGCCAGTGGTCTTGATCGCCCTCATGGACGCCGCCAGAGGGCAAGCTTCTGCAGCCTCACTGAGGCTCTGTACAGGCCCTTCGAGGCTGACATGAAGAGGGGCTGGCCATGGCACCCCCCACCCGGCTGGCACCCGGGGCGGACCGCCCCCCCCGCACTCCCCTTAGTACGCCACTGCCACAGGGGTAAAGTTTTCACCGACCGCACACGAGACGGCTGCCCAGAATAGTCCCATTAAATTGTTGGTAGCGGTCGGTCTCTTTCGAGGTTGCGAAACGTCCAAAATACCGAACATAAGTCTTAGCCCGTATGCTGATTATGTGCCCCTCATTCAGGACTCGGAGTCTGCTCCCACTGAACAGTGTGTCTTTCGGATAATAGAAACAAACTCAGGTGGGAAAGGAAGTTTAACTGTGTTTGGGAGGTCGAGTGTCTGATTTGAAATCCATGCACTCGATGACCAAACAGCACTGCTTGCGTTCGTGGCTCAAGATGGCCGCCACCACGTGTTAGTGCATGCGTACGGCAACCACTGAGCCGATCATTTAGAACACTGCGGTTACAAGTGATAATGAGGTGTTGACAGGGGTGATGAAGGTGTCAGGATTACTAGTTGATCGAGCACGTAGAATTATATCACAGCTAGGATTAAGGATAATGTATAACCAGACCTTAGAATGGCCGGACTTAATGTATCCCGTACTTGCCGAGGTCAGGAATACAGAGCGAGACACAACGATGAGGGAAAGCCAAAAGTCAAGGATACCAGATATGAGGGAAGTCAAACGAAGACAAAGTCAAATACCAGAAATACTATGACCAGAAATACTATGTTCAGGAACACACTCTCGGATAACCAGCTTAGGGAAACCACGACAGGGCACTGATAAAAACGTAATATGGGTTTAAATAACCCTCCTTTGTCTTTAATTGGCTGTCTCTGCCCTCTGACCCCAAAACGTGCGTGCGCTTCTATGATGTGACGCCGCACGCATGTCAGTGCCATCCTTGAAATGGGTGAAGGTAAGTTTTTAAAAAAGAGTCTGGTCTGCAGCAGCCGGCGTTCATAAGAAAGTAGCAACCGCTGGGGACCAGAATGGAGGGAGACCGGGTAGCTGCCTGCCGAGCCCAGGAGAGTTGAAAACATCTCTGAAGGCATGGCTGCTATGTTTGAGTGCAGCTATGCTGGCAGAGATGTCGGAGTCCGTGACAGAAGGTTAACAAGCAGCTTACAGGTGGTCTTGTAGTTCGTGGTTCTGTTCGGTATACGAACAAAACGAAAGTAAAATTTAGGAAAACAAGTTCTACCGAATGAACAGGAGAATAGAAGGAGTTTTAATAATTCAGTGACAGGGTGGTCTGTCACACCCACGAATCAACTCTTTTCACATGGCTTTTGCAGAGCCTATAGTCTTTTGGCAGGAGGCTAGCCAGGAACCACAGGTATCTTCTCCAATGGAGCTGCTATGAACGAATAGTCCAGAATACGTTCCCATCGCTGGCGGAAAGTGTCTTTACTCTCTAGATGTCCCACGAGGAGATGCTGGTATATAAGGGACACTGCCCTATGCAGGGCGGTTGTGCCATCGCAGAGCCCTTCGAACCATGTCAGGTTGCGGAAGCTTTTGATAGAAATATTTGATTTGTGTGTATTGAAATGTTTGCAGACTCAGTCAACTCCAGCAGTGGTGTCATGCCCGAGTTGTTTAATAACTTACGAATAGGAAGAGAGTCACCCCTTCCGAGGAAGTCCCATGACGATTATGGTAGTCCACCCCCTATGTGGGGATTGTGTTGTATCCGGATCAACGGGCTCAGCGTTGGAGATAAATGGGGGGCTCCCCTGATGCTGTCCCAGGTCTTCACCGTTTGGGCCACTGTATCCGCTTGTGCAGGCCTTTTCGAATTCCACACTGCCGTGAGGAGTGTGGAACACATGTGACCTTTATCGAGTTCCACCCATTGTTTGTGTGTCGGGTGGGTATGCCATTCCAGTATCCGCTGTAGGACCCCTGCATGGTCGTATTTGCATAGGTCAGGGAGTGCCAAACCACCCCATTCTCTTGGTAAGCAGAGTAGTTCTTGACGGAGTCTCGCCTGGCCTCCACTACAAACGAAGCGTATCATGGCAAAGCGTAATGAGGTGAAGTAAGCTGTAGGTAGGGCTAAAGGGAGTGTTTGGTAGAGGTATAGGATCCGATGTAGTACATTCGTCTTGAGTATTGCAATCCTACCGAACGGTGATATATGAGGTTAAGACCACTTCTTCAGGTCTGTTGTAAGAGAGGTAGAGTACATGAAGCAGTTCATTCTTATTTGATGCCGCAGTCTGTGTCTCGACTGTTTGCTCTGTAAAAGGAAATATACTAGTAATCGCTGGTTAAATAATCCATTATTGGGTTTTACCCTGGTGACTGTATATATACTGATTGTGGTATCTAGATTCAGACTGATTTCTAAACTGTGTGCTGGAACTCAGGGAGTCCGCACACCCAAACATACCCACCTATTCATAAAACCAGTATATTATTAAAGTGATCTTAATTCTCCTGAATTCGGAGTCTTACAGAAGGAGTGTGAGCTGCAGGTACTGAGCAGTCATTATTCGTGTGTCCCCGCTGCTTCTGTCACTATAGACTGATGTGTTTATGTGAATGTCTCTGGTAACATCGTATTACTCTTAAAGTTGGAAAATAATCCAAGAATTTCAACCAAATCTGCTATATTTATTGTTTGTCAATTTAACAGATAACTATGATAAACGCTATAACAATTTGTGAAATAACTACGAATAACGCTGTGCAAATTAAATGTAATAGAAAGGAGTTTCTATATGCTGGGGGTCAACTAGAATGCTTGAAATAAACAGATAATATATAGTAACAGTGTTTGTGTGCTCTTCTAAAGACACACGTTTATTGCTCTAATGCTATTAGCGAAACATAAAAAAATCAGCCCAGATAATTTTGGGGTAAGGGGTATGGTAAGGTCACTCTTAGTCACAATGATAAAGCTTCTAAGATAATACGTTTTACTATTTAGAAAAAAAAAATATTGATTTATCTTTTCCAGTTAACTTTTCAAACAATTCAACTTCAACAAGAAAATTAACCCCTTAAGGACACATGACGGAAATATTGTCATGATTCCCTTTTATTCCAGAAGTTGTGTCTTTAAGGGGTTAAAGAGTTGTAAAAGAACTATAAATGGAATATATTGTACTTTTGTGGATATCTATACTTTTTGCGAAGGTTTTTAGTGAAAAATGAGACTTGTATACACTCAGAAATAAGGTCATGTAGCTGAAATAGACAGTAACAATGTATATCCCATTGTAACCTCTCCAGTGATTGTTCATCATTTTACCTTTTTGGAAAAACCACACAGATTCACGGATTAAGGTTTAATGTATAAGGTGGGTCAGGTTTTATTAACTAAGTTCCTCCCCCCCCCCCACGTTGGAGTATGTAAAGGCTTAACATTGATCAAGTTTAGTCTTTCACACATTGTAGCCTTCCAGGAGTATAGTTCTTCCATACTCGGGTATAGGTCTCTGAGGGGTGGTTACATGTGAAAAAGGTAGAATAATTAGTATTTATTTTTTTTGGCACAGGCTGTATTTGGAAACAAGATAATTTGGCCCAACCATCATTTTCTCCTTCAAACACTGGTGAATATTAGGATACAGTTCACACAAGACTGGTTTATCGAACCTTAAAGGGACACTATAGTCTCCAAAACAACTTTAGTTTAAAGAATCAGTTTTGGTGTATAGATCGTGCCTCTAAAGTTTCACTGCTCAATTCTCTGCCATTTAGAAGTTAAATCACGTTTGTTTCTGACCATGCACCTCCCCTGACTGTCACTGGCACAGCCTGCATGAAAACAGAGGCAACTTTAAATGTTTGTACCTCCTGCTCTATCAGTATATACAGGAAGCTCCTGTAGGGTTTAGAAACCTTTTAACAGAGCAGGAGATAACAAATTCAAAATTATGCAGAATGTTTGATTATAATCACTCTTAGCAGGAAGTGTTTATGGAAGGCTGTGCAAGTCACATGCAGGGAGGTGTGACTAGGGTTCATAAACAAAGGGATTTAACTCCTAAATGGCAGAGGATTGAGCAGTGAGGCTGCAGCGGCATGATCTATACACCAAAACTGCTTCATTAAGATAAAGTTGTTTTGGTGACCATAGTGTCTTTTTAATGACCATTTGATCCACAACATGCAGTAACTTGTGATGTATATATCGTTAATGAAGATGTTCCTTCCGTGTGAGTACATAATGATGCTCTTTTAATTTTCCCATATAATATATCTTTCTCCTTAACTAGGATATATTAGTTACTAATATGCTTCTTGTAATCAATAGCTTTTTCAAAGTACCTTTGACCTCTTTATTTCTAATGCTATAGATGATAGGATTTAACATTGGAGTCACCACCGTGTACAGTATGGAGACAGCTCTGTCCTTCTCAGGAGAGTAACTGTATCGAGGTCGAAGATACATGAAGACAATGGCCCCATAGTAGAGAGAGACCACAGCGAGATGAGACGCACAGGTGGAGAAAGCTTTGTGTCTCCCTTCGGTTGAGCGTATTTTTAAGATGGTGGAGATAATTTGGATATAGGACAATAGTGTCAACAAGAAGGAACATAGTCCAACTAGTCCACCCGACACATAAACCGCTATTTCATTCATTAAAGTGTCTCTACAAGAGAGACGGAAAAGAGGTGGCATCTCACAGAAATAGTGGTTGACATGGTTGGACTTACAGTAAGGTAGCTGGAAAGTAAAAAAGGCGTGGGAGACTGAGTTTAGAAAGTTTGCAAACCAGGTCCCAACAGCCAGCTGAATACAGATTGTCTTGTTCATGATAGAGTTATAACGCAAGGGATTACAAATGGCTAGGTATCTATCATAAGCCATAATTGCCAATATTATACATTCTGTACCCCCTAAGGCCAGGTGGAAGTACATTTGTGCTGCACACCCCAAGAATGAAATGCTTTTGTCCTCAGTTATGGTGTTTAGTAATAGTTTTGGCACTATGGTGGTTGAGAAACAGAGATCAATAAATGAGAGGTTACTGAGGAAGAAGTACATAGGCGTCTGTAGTCGAGCATCCGATCTCACCACGACAATGATAAGAATGTTACCTGCTAGTGTGACTATGTACATCAGCAAGAATATAATAAAATATGTGGCTTGCAAGTGGGGGAGGGGTGAGAGGCCAATTAGGATGAAATTTCTGGCAAATGTTTGGTTTAAATCCTCCATAACACGTGGAAATATAATGCAGAACCGTAGAGAATACCCATTGTATCACAATGTCTGTAAAACAGGAGGACAATCAGCTGAGAACGTTTCCATCCGCGGGTTTACTCCTATAAAAACAAAACATTATTTATGTCTTATGTGTTTTCTTACAAATTCATTTTATAAGAGATCTGAAAATTTTCTCTTTGGGTGCATTTGTTACAGCTTTCAATAAAGAATTAGTGCAAACTAAACCCCTCCATCTCTATCTCTTTCTCTATCTTCATCTCTATCTCTGTCTCTATCTCCATCTCTATCTCTTAACACCACAAATATTTTTACATGACACTTCCCTTTCCTCTTTTCCTTTTTATCACATTTTATTGAACAAATAGAAGAGTTTGCCGTTAGAGCTGAGTGAACCCAAACTGTAAATTTCGGGTTCGTACTGAACATTACGGTTTTTGGACCCCGGACCCGAACACGGACATATCAGTGTATGTTCGGGTTGGAGTTCAGTGTTCGTGATTTAATCACAAGCGTTTGACTTGTGTGCCCTTAGAAGCCATCACAGCCATGTCTACTAATGGCATGGCTGTGATTGGCCAGTGCAGCATGTGACCCAGCCTCTATATATAAGCTGGAGTCACGTAGCGCCGCACGCACATGAGCTCTTATTAGTGTAGGGAGAGGATGCTGCAGCTGTGAGGGACAGATTAGGAAAGAATTCTGGTGTTGAATCTGCAAATTACAGCGATTATTTTTGTGGGTGCTATAATACTACATTTTCGTACCCTGCCCTGAGCCCAGTGCAACAGAGAGTGAAGTGCACTTGTAACTGCATGTGTGCCAGGCACATTACTTTAATCCTGTTCTGGTAGCTCAGTGGGCAACATCTAGGCATTTTTAAATACTGCAATTTTTTAGGTGTTAAATAGTACATCTGGTGTGTTCACTTCATATCTGAGAGTCAAATAGAACTGTCAAATACTGCTGTGACATAGCAGTTTTAAAAATTCATATTTTTTTGGGTGCTAAATAGTACATTTGGTGTGTGCACTTCATATCTGAGAGTTAAATAGAACTGTCAAATACTGCTGTGACATAGCAGTTTTAAAAATTCTAATTTATTTAGGTGCTAAATAGTACATTTGGTGTGTGCACTTCATCTCTGAGAGTCAAATAGAACCGTCAAATACTGCTGTGACATAGCAGTTTTAAAAATTCAAATTGTTTTGGTGCCAAATAGTACATTGGGGGCCTGCACTTCATATATGAGAGTCGAATAGAACCACCATATACTGTTGTGACATAGCAGTTTTAAAAATTCAAATTGTTTTGGTGCTAAATAGTATATTTGGGGCCTGCACTTCATATCTGAGAGTCAAATAAAACCGTCAAATACTGCTGCGACATGGCAGTTTTAAAAATTCTAATTGTTTTGGTGCTAAATAGTAGATTTGCGGCCTGCGGTGCACTTCATATCTGAGAGTCAAATAGAACCGTCAAATACTGCTGTGACATAGCAGTTTTAAAAATTCAAATTGTTTTGGTGCTAAATAATACATTTGAGGCCTCCACTTCATATCTGAGAGTCAAATAAAACCGTCAAATACTGCTTTGACATAGCATTTTTAAAAATTCAAATTTTTTTGTGTTAAATAGTACATTTGTGGCCTGCACTTCATATCTGAGAGTCAAATAGAACCGTCAAATACTGTGGTTACAGCGCAGTTTTAAAAATTCAAATAGTTTTGGTGCTAAATAGTACATTTGGGGCCTCCACTTCATATCTGAGAGTCAAATAGAACCGTCAAATACTGCTGCGACATAGCAGTTTTAAAAATTCAAATTGTTTTGGTGCTAAATAATACATTTGAGGCCTCCACTTCATATCTGAGAGTCAAATAAAACCGTCAAATACTGCTTTGACATAGCATTTTTAAAAATTCAAATTTTTTTGTGTTAAATAGTACATTTGTGGCCTGCACTTCATATCTGAGAGTCAAATAGAACCGTCAAATACTGTGGTTACAGCGCAGTTTTAAAAATTCAAATAGTTTTGGTGCTAAATAGTACATTTGGGGCCTCCACTTCATATCTGAGAGTCAAATAGAACCGTCAAATACTGCTGTGACATAGCAGTTTTAAAAATTCAAATTGTTTTGGTGCTAAATAATACATTTGAGGCCTCCACTTCATATCTGAGAGTCAAATAAAACCGTCAAATACTGCTTTGACATAGCATTTTTAAAAATTCAAATTTTTTTGTGTTAAATAGTACATTTGTGGCCTGCACTTCATATCTGAGAGTCAAATAGAACCGTCAAATACTGTGGTTACAGCGCAGTTTTAAAAATTCAAATAGTTTTGGTGCTAAATAGTACATTTGGGGCCTCCACTTCATATCTGAGAGTCAAATAGAACCGTCAAATACTGCTGCGACATAGCAGTTTTAAAAATTCAAATAGTTTTGGTGCTAAATAGTACATTTGGTGTGTGCACTTCATATCTGAGAGTCAAATAGAACCGTCAAATACTGCTGCGACATAGCAGTTTTAAAAATTCCAATTTTTTTGTGCTAAATAGTACATTTGTGGCCTGCGGTGCACTTCATATCTGAGAGTCAAATAGAACCGTCATATACTGCTGTGACATAGCAGTTTTAAAAATTCAAATAGTTTTGGTGCTAAATAGTACATTTGGTGTGTGCACTTCATATCTGAGAGTCAAATAGAACCAGCAAATACTGTGGTTACAGCGCAGTTTTAAAAATTCAAATTTTTGTGTGTTAAATAGTACATTTGTGGCCTGCACTTCATATCTGAGAGTCAAATAGAACCGTCAAATACTGTGGTTACAGCGCAGTTTTAAAAATTCAAATAGTTTTGGTGCTAAATAATACATTTGGGGCCTCCACTTCATATCTGAGAGTCAAATAGAACCGTCAAATACTGCTGCGACATAGCAGTTTTAAAAATTCCAATTTTTTTGTGCTAAATAGTACATTTGTGGCCTGCGGTGCACTTCATATCTGAGAGTCAAATAGAACCGTCATATACTGCTGTGACATAGCAGTTTTAAAAATTCAAATAGTTTTGGTGCTAAATAGTACATTTGCGGCTCACGGTGCACTTCATATCTGAGAGTCAAATAGAACCGTCAAATACTGTGGTTACAGCGCAGTTTTAAAAATTCCAATTTTTTGGGTGCTAAATAGTACATTTGGTGTGTGCAATTCATATCTAGTGTTTGTGTGCAACACTGGCTAGTTACCACTTCTCAAGAAAGTCTAAAAACATTTCTATAATGTGTAAAGACACAACTACAAAGTTAAAAACCAAACACCAAAACAATGTGCCAGACAATCTACCTGTGCATGGCTAGTGTGATACAATAAGTCTACATCTTAAAAATACAATAACCCACAGAAGATGGGCCAGAAATTATTTTTGCAAATGGAACTTTGATTGGAATTTACTACATCGGTCACTTGTAATATTGTTTCACACCTACAACACTTGTTAAACAGATCTAAGTGATAGAAAACAGATTGATATTTTCTACACTAGAAACTACCAGATAACAAGCTGCTATATTTAAACCAGTTATCAATAGCTAAGAGGTACTTAAACAATATTGTAATTCTGGAGCAATACCCTCACATGTCAAACTGAGAGGTCAGTTTATAGGGAAAACTGTAGCCTGGATACAATTCTAAAACAATTCCCATATGTCCTTTGCAGACTTTACATGGCAAAAAAACAGGTGCCAACTGCTGTGGCTTTCTGCAGTGTGCATACTGGCAAGGAGGGCAGGGTTGAGGAGTGGGTGGAAGATGAGGTGAAGGATGGACACCGTCCTATACAATACCACCACCTGATATCATGCCTCCGTCCTATACAATGCCACTACCTGATATTATGCCACCGCCCTATAAAATGCCACTACCTGATATCATGATGCCATTCTTTACATTGCCACTACCTGATATCATGCTCCATTCTTTGCAATGCCTTGCTCCGATATAATGTTATCATCCTATTCAATGCACGATCCAATACAATGCCTCACTTCGATATTATGTGATCCTTTTCAATGCCACAATACGTTTGTCCTATTCAATACCACCATCCAACCCAATGCTACCAGTTGATATCAATCCATCAACCAATACAATACCATCATCCTATTCAATGCCAGCACATAATGACTGCCAGGTGTAAAGGGCGGAGCTTATAACAATGATTGACAGGGAGCTAAGATGGAGGCGGCTCTCTCTATACTGACTGCCAGGTGTAAAGGGCGGAGCTTATAACAATGATTGACAGGGAGCTAAGATGGAGGCGGCTCTCTCTATACTGACTGCCAAGTGTAAAGGGCGGAGCTTATAACAATGATTGACAGTGAGCTAAGATGGAGGCGACTCTCTCTATACTGACTGCCAGGTGTAAAGGGCGGAGCTTATAACAATGATTGACAGGGAGCTAAGATGGAGGTGGCTCTCTCTATACTGACTGCCAGGTGTAAAGGGCGGAGCTTATAACAATGATTGACAGGGAGCTAAGATGGAGGAGCCTGGTTACAGGACACAGACTTGTGGATTTTACATTTAATTTTATTTTTCACAACTCACTAATACAGATTTGCTAAATATTGGGATAAGTAAACATATTAAAATCCAATTCTTCTTTAAAAAAACATTTATAATATGCTAAAAGGACATCACGATCAGGGCCGGCCATAGGCCATTAGGCGCCCTGTGCGAAAAGTCTTCACGGCGCCCCCCGCACCAAGTTGCCTGTATAGAGTCACACACACAGGCACAGACAGACAGTCACACAAACAGTTACAAGCAGACAGTCAGACACGCTCAGTTACAGGCAGGCAGTCAGACATGCTCAGTTAGAGTCAGACAGTCACACACACACACACACACAGTTACAGGCAGACAGTCACAGAGCCAAACACACAGTTAAAGGAAGACAGTCACACACAGTTACAGGCACACAATCACGAACAGTTACAGGCACACAGTCACACACACAGTCACAAGCAGATAGTCACACATACTCCATTACAAGCAGACAGTCATACACACTCAGTTACAGGCATGCAGACACTCACGCACGCTGATAGGCACACAAATACTCAGTTAAAGGCAGATATTCACACATACAGGCACAGGCACACACAACAGCACAGCTACAGCAACACACACAATTGGAGTCACACACAGTCAGACAGTAACACAGACAGACTGCCACACACACACGCACACACACAGGCAGGCAGTCACAGTCTCACACACACACACACACACACACACAGACTTACCTCTTTCCAGAATGGCTGGAAGGGGGAGTGGATGCAGTTGGTTGTTGTGCAGCAGTTACAAGGGGCTTCGGAAAGTATTAACGACGCCTCTGCCATAAGCCCCACCCCACCGCTTGTTAAGCCCTGCCCCCACTCCATTTTTTTTTTTTATAAACCCGGATGGAGAATAATAAAATCCTCCACCCGGGTACCTCCACCCGGGTTTTAGCTCCCCTGTCACCCGGCCATGTGTGAGCTGTGTCGGCTGCCCAGCGCGCACACCCCTAATGCCGGGCCTGATCACAATACCAGCACTGGATCCAAATCCAGAACTGAAGTTCCAGAATTAACCATTCAGGCTAAAATCGTCCATTATTATAATACGATATCACATCTAAACACTATGTGCAGTGGGAGGCAGGAAAGGGAGACACTAACACTATTGGTTGACTAATTCTGTCCTGGGTTTGGACCTGACGCTGGTGATGTATTGTCTGTCAAGTGGGATGTGAACCCACCTGTCCGGACTCTGATACAGTAGGACCATCGGATATTTTAAATGATCCAATGTTTCACAGCTGCACTGTTTATTCTTAAATAAAAAGCAATATCCAGTAAAAGCCCGTCATTAGGGCGGCAAATTTCAATTTAGTTTTAGTCGTATATTAGTAACCTAAATTATTTTAGTTTAGTCTAGTTTTAGTCGACTAAATATCAAGTAGATTTTAGTAGACATGACTAAAAATGGCAATAATAACTGTCAACTGCCATCATTCATTGGGAAATGGAAAGTAACACAATTAAAACAAGCTAATTCTTTTTGCATGGACAAACTGATGGTAATTAAAGACCTCATACCTCAATGTACTATCTGCGTCATTTTGCTAATTTCAACCAACATCGAAAAGAGGTGCTGTGTTACATAAATGTCTTTATTTGAAAAAAACATTAATAAATACATCAATTTTTATATAATTAAGCCAAGCTTTGTAAGTGTTACGAGGACAGAAAATGAACTTTCACGTATTGTTCCAGCCAGACCCACCATTGATAATTCCATCTCACAAACATATTACAAGAGTTTCATGATCGGTAGACCAGCTGGCCTGTTTATTGTCTTACCTTAATGTCAATGTATCTACATTATAATACGATGTTGGCAGAGTGAAGACATAATTATTTATATTTGAGTTTGCTTTTTCATGAGTTCGAGTAATCTTGGCATTTATTAATTAATTGATACTTTGTATAAAACAATCGATTTGCTGTTGAGTCCTACATTTCGATACAGATTTTTTGTTTTGGAAAGTTCTGGCCTTTAGAGCAAACAGACAAACTGAAGCTTAATATTTATACCCTGTGTATTAAGAGATGAAAAAATATTGGTTTGTCCCAAACGTTACACTCAACGGGGAAGAGAAAATCCCTTAGCAATTAGAATATTTTAGAGATTGAGGTGTAATCCTCAAATGACTAAAAAGTCACAAACTGAATGTTTCAGCTGTATCTTTTCTTTGTCTGTAGAAATTAAAGATATTCATGATAAAAATAAAATAACAAAATATCTAAAACTCTTTATAGCATGAAGATTTAACATGGGTGTTGACGTATTCTTCTCACATAGTGAGATATGAATAGTTTCTGGAGTAAATGTAGATGTTTAATAGGATAAAAAGATGTGGTGTCCTAGCATGCCAGTAGGTCCAACAAACTAGATATGCCAATAGGAACTAAGGACTGGAGGAGCCAGGTATGCCAACGGGAGCAGAGGACTGGAGGAGCCAGGTATGCCAACAGGAGCAGAGGACCGAAGGAGCCAGGTATGCCAAGGTGAGCAGAGGACTGGAGGAGCCCGGTATACCAACAGGAGTAGAGGACCAGAAGAACCAGGTATGCCAATGGGAGCAGAGGACCAGAAGAGCCAATGGAAGCAGAGGACCAGAAGAGCCAGGTGTAGCGGAGAGGTAGTATAATCCACAATATCTCCGTTGGGTAACAGGAACAGTATAAAATAATCCAGGGGAATAAGCACAGCATACAATAATCCCGATAGCGTTGTAATAATCCTTCCTTCCCAAGAACTAGACGACACATAGGCTGGGAGTCAACTGAGGTTTTATTTTCAGGTCACAGTATTTATGGGATTCCCCATGCAAGGGGTTTCCCTACTGACATTCCAGGAGTGGTACAGTAGGGGCGACCTCCTGTGTGTGGTCGACCATTCGGTAGTTCATTCGTTTCGCGAACAGTGTTTAAACTCACTGTTCGTGAACCTGCATAGGCAATGCTGGGTTTTACGCATTACAAGCATACGAACGCTCTCATACGTTCGCATGAACGCCACATACCACAATACACTTGGTTCTTACAGCAAACAAAACCCATGATATCCACACATGTAATACAGACATAGTCTTAAGTGGCTAGGTTTGCCACACCAGGTATGTCCACGGGAGTAGTGGTCCGGAGGAGCCAGGTATGCCAAGAGGAGCAGATGACTGGAGGAGCCAGATATGCCAACTGAAGCAGAGGACTGGAAGAGTCAGGTGTGCCTACGGGAGCAGAGGACCGGCACAAGATGAAGATGAGGGGTTGGCAATAACAAGAGATTCAGCACATGAGCCTGTTTTATAGAATCTTGTGCTAGAATGGTGTAAATCTGAGCTATTTTTTTTATAATATAAATAAGTCAGGATGCAGAGATTGACCGGATTCAGGGGAGTGAGGCAGAGGTTTCAGTTGGAGAGGCTTCCAACGCAGGGAGTCTGAGATGTAGCGTGTCGCCTGAATCATTGACCTGAAGAGAAAGTAAAAGCAAAACCGGTTAGTGCACCCACTGCGGGCCAGTCTTGGCAGATGTCTTTCCTAGTGATTAAAACCTTTACTGAGGGAGGAAAGAATCAAGATTTTGAAAACAATAGCAGTTTAGGTAAGTAAAAAAAAAAGAAGGGGGTTATGATTTGCTCAGAGCTAGTGATGTCCCGAACTGTTCGCCGGACGGTTCGCGAACTGTTCGCCACGGTTCGCCATGAATGGTTCGCGCGGACTCCAGTCAGCTGACACATTCCAGCCAATCAGCAGCAGACCCTCCCTCCCAGACCCTCCCACCTCCTGGACAGCTCACTAAGAATGCAGCTTCAAAATGGATGGTGTCCAGGAGGTGGAAGGGTCTGGGAGGGAGGGTCTGCTGCTGATTGGCTGGAATGTGTCAGCTGACTGGAGTCCATGGCGAACAGTTCGCGAACAGTTTGGCGAACAGTTCGCGAACCGTTCGGCAAACAGTTTGGGACATCGCTACTCAGAGCACATATGTGACAGACCCCAGAATATTAAAAGCAAACAACACATTTTTATTGAATTTATAGAATCATACATAAAGTATAATTAGAATATGGGAAGAGCTGAAACATAGCCCGAGAAAAAGCAAAGAAAGTGCACAATTAGCAATGATAACAGATCTTTCACAAAAATAAACAGAAATACTTTGGGCTACAAAACAAGTAAATGGGTGTCAGGGGTGGCGGTCCGGTGACCGGAGCCCAGTATGCCTGATCTTGATAGGAGTCACAGTGTGTAAAAAGATTATCATGGCCTGGTGCTAGGTAACCGCACACACCCTGGTGTTGAGCACAAGCATTTGTGCGGCTACATACCAGTGCCCCGATGCAGCTACTGGATCCAAGAGCTAGGAGCTTGGTGAAATGCAGACCTCTCAGAAACTGGATAGGGAGGCTCTGCAGCAGACATGTATCCAGTACAGAAACAAGGCAAGACTAGAATAGAAACCAAACAAGACAAATCTAGGAGAACCCAGAACCCAGAACAAGTACACAATACATGAGGGAAACATGAACAGGGCCGGACAGGACTGAACATGAACTGGGAATACAAGACAAAATGAAACAAGACAAGAGATACAAGGCAAAACAAGAGGAGACATAACTTAGTCTTATATATGTAAAACATTCATAAATGGCCAAGATGTATACAGCCCACCAACTGCGGCAAAGTACTCCAATTACGGTGGGTCCTATCTACCTAGATATGCATGACTAAATAAACAATAATAAAACACACACAGCACTTTCCTGCAAGAAAGAGCAGAGGACTTGGAACAACTGCCTACAGGAACCAACTGAAACAAAAGGATTAATGGAAAAGGAACGGGTGTGGCAACAAAAAACAAACATATAAAGGAATCCAAGAGACTGGGAATTCCAGGAACGGAATAAAGGAATGAATCCAGAAAACGCAGCATTATGAAAACCAGACACAGAATAGAAAACCAGAAAAAACAAGAAAAACTAAACAAGGATTGTAAAAAGAGTACTGGATACCAGAAGCCAAAGCCAGACATCTCCGAAAGAAAAAGGAACAGGATGTGACAATGGGTCACTGATATAGGTACAGAATGGTAAGACACTCTGGTGGAACTACCGTCTGCAGGCGTTGGGGACCATCAGGTAGCCCATCCATTTAGGACAAACTCGATAGGCAGGCAGATGTGGTCAGTGTCCCAGTCGGGTTCTGTGGACATTTGGCAGCATGACTTGGCCCTTTTAATTTCGGTAGTCGGTGTTTGGAGGAAGTGATTTCCTGTGACTCCTCCCAGCTTACAGACAATGCAGAGGCGGGTAGGACAGAGGAAGCACATATAGGGAGGAAGATGTTCACTGCAGACAGAGAGGCTGGACAGGCTCAGACTCCCACCAGCCTCAGCAAGCTCGGGAATCCACCCTACTGCATCCAAAAAGTATGGAAGCAGCTGGGTGGATAAGAATATGTAGACTTATGTGTGTGTGTGTGTGTGTCAGTTTGTATGTGTATCTGTGTGTGTCAGTGTGGGTATGTGTGCGTGTGTCATTGTGTGTATATGGTGTGAGCTTGCATATGTGTTACTCTTTGTTTGTGTGTTTGGCTGCATATGTGTATATGTGCATAGATCCTAGCATTAACATTCAAACATCAACACAACATATAAACACACCCCTCCAGTCAAACACCAACACGATGTGCAAACCTACCCCTGCCATCAAACACCCACACGACATACAAACACACTGTTACTATCAAACACCCACACTACATACAAACACACTGTTACTATCAAACACCCACACTACATACAAACACACTGTTGCTATCAAACACCCACACTACATACAAACACACTGGTACTATCAAACACCCACACTACATACAAACACACTGTTGCTATCAAACAACCACACTACATACAAACACACTGTTGCTATCAAACACCCACACTACATACAAACACACTGTTACTATCAAACACCCACACTACATACAAACACACTGTTACTATCAAACACCCTCACTACATACAAACACACCGTTACTATCAAACACCCACACTACATACAAACACACTGTTGCTATCAAACAACAACACTACATACAAACACACTGTTCCTATCAAACACCCACACTACATACAAACACACTGTTGCTATCAAACACCCACACTACATACAAACACACTGTTCCTATCAAACACCCACACTACATACAAACACACTGTTGCTATCAAACACCAACACTACATACAAACACACTGTTGCCAGGGCCGGACTGGGCCACCAGGAAATTTCCCGGTGGGCCATAGGCACCTGGGGCTGGGCAGGCAGCAGGCTCACCTGCAGCCGCAGAGAGAGCTCTTTAGGCGGCCGCAGGGGGAGCTGGCTGTTCTGTCTCTGCTCCCCCTGCCCAGCGCACTGCTTAATGAGACCGGGGCCGGAATATGACGTCATATTTCGGCCCCGGTCTCATTAAGCAGTGCGCTGGGGAGGGGGAGCAGAGACAGAACAGCCAGCTCCCCCTGCGGCCGCCTAAAGAGCTCCCTCTGCAGCTGCCAGAAGAGCCAGCTCCCCCATGCGGCCGCCATCAGAGCTCCCCATGCCAGCACACAGGAAGCAATTATGTGTGTCAGTGTGAGTGTGTGTGTGTCTGCGTCATTTGTGTGTGTCTGTCATGGTGTGTTTGTCTGTGTCATGGTGTGTGTGTGTGTGTGTCTGTGTCATTGTGTGTGTCTGTATGTGTCATTGTGTGTGTCTGTCTGTGTCATGGTGTGTGTGTCTCTGTCTGTCATGGTGTGTGCGTCTGTGTCATGGTGTGTGTGTGTCTGTGTTATGCAATGTGTGTCTGTATCATTGTGTGTGTCTGTCTGTGTCATGGTGTGTGTGTCTTTGTCTGTCATGGTGTGTGCGTCTGTCTGTGTCATGCAATGTGTGTCTGTGTCATTGTGTGTGTGTCTGTCTGTGTCACGGTCTGTCTGTGTCATGGTGTGTGTGTGTTTGTCATGGTGTGTGTGTGTGTGTCTGTCTGTGTCACGGTGTGTGTGTGCCTGTGTCACAATCTCTCTGTGTCGTGGTGTCTGTGTGTCTGTGTGTCATGGTGTGTGTGTTTGTCTGTGTTATGGTGTGTGTGTGTGTCAAGGTGTGTGTGTGTCTTTTTTAAAGTGTGTGTCTGTCATGGTATGTGTGTGTGTCTGTCATAGTATGTGTGTGTCTCTGCCATGGTGTGTGTGTGTGTCTGTCTGTGTCATGGTGTGTCTGTCATGGTGTGTCTGTGTTTCTGTCTGTGTCACGGTGTGTGTGTGTCTGTGTCACGGTCTGTCTGTGTCATGGTGTGTGTCTGTCATGGTATGTGTGTGTGCATGTGTGTTTTTACTCACCTTTTTTTCCCCCCCACGTCGTGCTGGTCTCCCCTCGACTGGCCCTGCCTCTAAGGCTGAGATCGTCAAGCTTGATGATCTCAGCCAATCCGCACTGACACAGGAAGCACCTCTAGTGACAGTCTGAGTGTCTGTCACTAGGAAGCAATGTAAACACTGCCTTTTCTCTAAAAAGTCAGTGTTTACATTGAAAAGCCTGCAGGGACACGCTATAGACACCAGAGCCACTACATTAAGCTGTGTGTGTGTGCGCGCCTGCTAGTGAGTGGGCTTATGTTTTTATGTCAATGACCTTATGTATATCAGTGAGATTGTTTGTCTATGAGGCTGTGTATCAATCAGCTTGTGTCAGTGAGATTGTCTGTGTCTGCATGTGAGTATGCTTACTGTATAATTAAAAATTTTGCTCTGAAAGGACCAATATTATATATTGGAAAAAGCAATATATATATATATATATATATATATATATATATATATCTCAATCATCTAGGGTGGCAAGACATAGCCTTACATATTACATCGGACAATATATGGCACAATGACTTATGGGGCTGGCACAGATTTTTTCCAGGGCTATTTTGGAATCCCCAGTCCGGCCCTGACTGTTGCTATCACACACCCACACTACATACAAACACACTGTTGCTATCAAACACCAACACTACATACAAACACACTGTTGCTATCTGTGGCGAAACTAGCCACTTTAAGACTGTATTTACATTAATGTGTTGCTGTAGCTTTAAGGATGTTAGAACCAAGTGTATACCTAATTCTTTATTTTAGGTGAACAAGAGCATTCGTATGCTGGCGGCATGAAAACCATCAGCATTCATACAGTAGTTTCACGAACAGTGAATTTCAACACTGTTCGTGAAACGAACAAACTACCGAATGGGAGACCACACACAGGAGGTTGTGTGGCTCCCATTAAATATTGCAACATTGTATCTTTTGGTAGTTATTAAAGATTCAGGGTGGCCGCCGTTCGGCTACCGACCACGCGGCGGTTGGCCATCTTGGATCCTTTGTTAGCCCAGCGGTATTTTGTCGTCGAGTGCCTGGAACTAAAATCGGCTACTCAACAGCATGAATACCGCTGGACTACCACTTATTCGTGCAATTTAGACGAAGTATATATTAAAGTGTAATTCATACGGCGTTCGGCTAGATGTGCTGAGATCTGAGCGGTAATTGCATGAAATGTGCGCTCAGACCCCAGCTATCTACCGAACGGTCATTCGGTAATATAGTAGGCATAATGTTAAAGTTGTATATTTTTATGTGAAAAGCCAGTTCTGCTGCACGGAGGGATAATCCACTTAACTGGATATTCTAGTGGGAATATCCCTCTCGTACAGCAGTGCATGATGGGAGAAATGTCCAGGTTGTTAAGTTCCCCATGTAGTCCCCAACTGTACAACCCCTGTAATGTCAGTAGGGAAACCCCTTGCATGGGGAACCACATAAATACTGTGACCTGTGATTAAAAGCTCAGTTGACTCCCAGTTTATGTGTCGTCTAGTTCTTGGGAAGGAAGGATTTATACACTGCTACCGGGATTATTGTATGCTGTACTTATTTTGCTTGGATGATTTTATGCTGTTCCTGTTACCCAGCGGGGATACCGTGGATGAAACTACCTCTCCGCCACAATTGGTGGCAAGCAACGGGATTTCAAACACCCAGCAAACCAGCGTTCGGCAGTAACCACACGAATAAAGAAGAGAAGCAGCAGTTCGGCGGAACAAACCATTCAGATAAAACCAGTGTTCGGTAGATATGTCAAAATATACAAACGACTGGTGAATGGAGGCGAATTATGCAACATAGAAATGAACTACACTAAAAAAATTATTGGAAGCAAGGGGAAAAAGCGCCAGCAATAAAACCAAGGTAACCTTTCTGGCAGAACTGATGGAAGGTGACAAAGAAACCACTGCAGCAGCTCCACAGGAAATAGACCACAATGAATTTGACAAGGAGAAGAGGAGCAGGCTAGCCTTTTATCCAGAGACCTCCCCCCACCCCCCGTGAAGATACTATCCCGACTGATGGCAGACGTACAGGAGTACCTAGCGGTCAGACTCCAAGCAAATCAGCGGGCTGGGGAAAGGGCCACAACGCCAGTCAGCATTACTCCGGGGAAAGCCAAAATTCCCTATCAAGCATTTAAGAGCTATACAGAAGCTGACGGTGATGTGGATGACTACCTGCAAGATTTCGAGAGGTTGTGCCAACTACACGACATCAGCACGGTGTATCGGGTACCGCTACTAGCAGGGGGATTACGCCGCGGCTACCTTTCAGAGGATGGTAGATCGGCTACTGGATGGGTTTCAGGATGTTTTATCCCATTCTGAAGAAGCCACTTATGGTGAAACGCGTTTATGGTTATTAATTCTGTATTTTACTGTGTATTTTAGATCAATAAAAGTTTTTTGGCTACTTTATTGTACCAATCCTCTTTTTATTGCACTCTTTATGCACTTTAAACAACTTTTGTTTTTACCTATTCCTGGCATTTTTAACCTTTCCTGGTTACTTTTACTTCCATTGGCAATTTTAAAGTTCCAGTACTCCAAGAAATCCTAGGTGGGGATCATACCACCGGCGCCTATCCATAGAGCAGTACCTCTGCTCTATCTTTGTGAGTATTATTTTATTTTCTCTACTACTCTCTTAACCTATCACAATTGAGAGCACTATTGCTGCTTTTATTCTTCTATATTGGAGCCTTGGATCACCAGACGGTGCTGACGGACGTATCGCCGCTACATATCCTATAAGCGGGGATTATACCGCTGTACGCGATCCACACCAGAGCTGGCCATAGCTCCCTCAAATGTGAGTTTTTTACCTCTTCTTATCTGCACATTGAACCACATCAAAATTGAGAGCACTATTGTTGCTTTCTGTCTTTCTTTTCCGAGTTCTGGACTACCAGACGGTGTTGACGGAGACCCCCTCCCTACATATCCCATAAGCTGGGATTATACCGCTGTACGCAATCCACACCAGAGCTGGCCATAGCTCTCTTGAATGTGAGTTCTTTACTTTTTGTTACCTATCACACCCTGAACTTTCATACTATACCATTAGTCGCCTCTACCTCTCTTGTATTTACATATATGGAACGGTCTACACCAGACGCATCCACAGAGGAACTCTATCAAGTATCCTAGACCATCTATTGGCACCCTAGCAATACTTTACTGGACTATCTACCCTTATTTGGCGCAGCCCTTCCATATCTTTTTGTATCTATCCACCGAAGGACCCGAGGGGTTTTCCTTCATTTGGGTTGCTGCCTACCTTGACTAATTTTGTGATTACTAGCGCTGAATTCTTTTTGTGTTTATCTATGCTTGCACCTATCTACGATATAGCCATTTTCAGCTACTCCTGGACCGACCACCTGACCCACATAGGAGCCATACTAGACCGGATTAGGGAGGCAGGACTGACTCTCAAACCCAGCAAGTGCCACGCAGGGATGGCAGAAGTCCAGTACCTAGCGCACAGAGTAGGACGCTGTAACAGACCGTTTTGCACATAAGGGGTAAAAACCGTTTAGGCGATCGTCCCCCTTTCCAGAGATGCAGGCACAGCTACTGCAGAACACCAACCCGCCGAACAGGAAACCATATGAATGCTGTAAACAGCCGAATAGGAAAAACCATACGAATAGGTTTACACTCCTAGCAGTCAAACTGGAACAGCATACAATAAATCCCCCCAAGAACGAGACAAAGCTCCGTGTTGAGGGTCAAGCAGTGCTACTGGGAGGGTGGCCTGGTTGAAGCCTGGTTGTTGGAGGGGGAGACCGACTGTCTCCTCTTTAGATATACAGCCCTGCTGCTGGAGACCGACTGTCTCCCCTTTGGACACACAGCTCTGCTGCTGGAGACCGACTGTCTCCCCTTTGGCTAAACAGCCCTGTCGCTGGGGGGCAGAACCGACCGTCCCTACCCCCTGTGCTGTATGTGCAGAGACCACGGTCCCATCTGCACAGTTGTGGGGCTTACTGTCTCCCCCTGGTACATTAAGCTGCTGCTGGGGAGAGGGGGTAACCAGCTCCTCTCCCATACATACTTCCAGCCGCGGGGGAGGGAGACCGACTGTCTCTGCTCCCAATACAGAGTCCTACTGCTGGGGAAAGGAGACTGGGCTCTCTATTC